ATTTATTTATAATATATATTTAAGTTCTTAAATTAACACATTTTTAATTGTGCTCCATCACTGATCTTTGATACAATTTTTAAACAGTCTATGCTCAAGAAATAAATATTAAAAAATCTGAATCCATTATGTTTTTCCTGAATGTCTTTCAATTTTCACATATTCGCAGGATATGCATATTTCAATTTTTAACTGCGGACCTTTTGTTAAAAAGCCATCCTTTACTGCCCGCGCTTAAAAAAGAATTAATCGTACAGACCAATCCTGGCCTAAAAATCAAGATATGTATATTATGCTAGCTTATAAATCTAGGAAAGTTTACACAAGAAATAATATATTTGATGTTTCTTAACATAATGTAAGCTAACATATGTAAGCATAATACTCTCTCGAATCCGAGTGATAAGAGGAATAAGGGAATTGGGTTTTCTGACAAGAGATTAGAATTCTATTATCAAAATATGTATATTTTGTAAGCTCATATATTTAGAAAAATTTCGCGTAAGAAACAAAAATATTGATTGCGTCTTAAATATATTTCTCTCTTGACACTGAGTAGTAAGGATTTTCCTGCTTTGGAGTCGCTGAGTTAAAATCGGAGGATGTATATTTTGTGAACATGTAGGTGATATTCAGAAAAAAAAGATAATGGATTCGTTGTACATTTTAGTGTTGCCAACTTGAAATTGTAAAATCCGTCATATGCCTCTCAAAAATAAATAAAAAATAAGCTAAAGTAGTAAATACGTTCTATGTGCGAATGCGCGCACAAGTATTAGACTGGAACCAAAGGTCGTAGCGTTTTTTAAGTGAAATTCGAAGGCAATGTTTAGATATTTGTATATAGAGTTATATTTATATATAGAGTTGTTCAATCACATATGTGCCAATTTGTTCCACTATTTTTCGCCATCTTTGAGGTGGCTTCATGATTTCATTCTCCTAGAACTTGGCATCTTTCTGAGCGATGAACTAGTTCAGATGGTTTTTATCAGCTTCTGGGAAATTAAAGTTCCTCTCATTAAGGGAATTTTGTAAGGACCGAAATAAGTGGCAATTCGAAGGTGCATGCAAATCAGATGAATACGGGGAGTGAGGTAGAACATCCCAGCCAAGTGGCACAAATTTCTGCCGAGTCTGCCAAGAGACATGAGGTCTGGCGTTGTCCTGATGGAAGATGACACCTTTCCAATTGGCCAATACCGGACGCTTTTCATCGATTGCCGCCTTCCAACCGGTCCAATTGGGAATAGTACTTGTCTGAATTCAATGTCTGGTAGTGCGGAAGGAGCTCATAATACATGATGCCTTTCCAATTCCACCAGATACATAGTATCACCTTCTTCGGAAGCATACCGGCTTTTGAAGTGATTAACGGTGATTCGTTTCTCGTAGGATCTTTTTCACTTCACATTGTTATAAACGATCCATTTTTTCATCGCCCGTGATCGTTCGTTTAAAAAATGGGTCGTTTTCGTTGCGTTTGAACAGAGAATCGCTGATGGAAATGCGATCCATTAAATTTTTTCCATTAAATTAAGTGAGGCACCCAAATATCGTAGCATATTCACGTATCCGAGTGTCTCCAAATGCTTTACAATGCTCATATGAGATATATGGAGTATTTCTGCGATGTCCCGTGTTTTCTGATATGGATTATTTTCAATTGGCGTTATTGCATTAGCGATTTGGTTATCATCAACGACTGCAGACCTACCGGAACGTTTTCAGTCTTTCAGATCAAAATCGCCACTTCTGAACCGAGCGAACCACTTACAAACAATACTCTCAACTACGGCATCATCTATAAACGGCACGTATCTTTTTTGCTGTTTGTACAGCCTTTTTTCATTTCCGGAAATAAAAGAGTATCTGTAAATGACGAAAACGCGCCATATTTTTCTCCATTTTCGCTTTTAACGTAAATACGCTTAAAATTCACAAATCTATCCACAAATCACAGAGAAAGACGCGTTGAAATGTAATCTTTCAGAATATGTATATATGTCATATATTTCAGCCACGCGTAAAACGAATTCACATGTTCAAACGTCACTTATTGAAAAACACTACGAATTTTTATTCTAACCTAATAAAAAAAAGATACATAGTCAATTTTGCAGATTTAATTGCCTTTATTATACGATTATAATAAGGTATATCCATGAATTTGGACAAAATATCACATATTGTACCGTTTTTTTATAAGAGCTACAAATTTATTGGCTACTGTGTCGTTTATAAGATTTGACTGCGAATGCTACTTATAATGAGGTCTAATTAAAATTTAATTAAAAAAAAGGAATTAGCTGATTTCAGAAAAGAAAATTCGCTGCTTCAATTTTCAAATAATTCCGAAAACATATTAAGACAAAAATCAGCTAACTAAAGTGCAAAACATGATTTTTGCACTTTAGTTGATGTTCAAGTAAGCTACAAATGACTAAAGCTAAAAATAAACTAAGTAGGCAACACTGATTCTTTTTTTGTATCTTCTCCTTGAATGTAAACAGTTAATTTTCGAGGGTAAGAAATGAAACTCAAAAGTCAAAACTGGTTTAAGACCTCATAATCAAATAACAACTTCAACGATTTAAAACAGGCTCGTTTTTTGTATTTTTAAGAAATGACAGGATAAATGAGCGCCGCGCTTACACCAAAAAAATTTCTACTTAGAGAGGCAAGCTTAAAACTTTTGTCTTGCAGAGTTTGGAAACCTATAAATAGTTCCTGATTCTGAAATATTCGTTTGGTTATGCGGTAAGGTAACTGCACGAGAGTACCAAAATAATCCTCAACATAAACATGTTGGATTTTCCGGCAAATTTTTGCCAACGTAAAATGAGTTTTCGTATTCTGTCAATGAAAAATTTACGTGGTCCCTGTTCGGTCCACAACGCTACCATTGCTTGCGTTTCATTATTCGGGAGGAAATTAAAGTCTTTAAAGATACTTTAAGATACTTTTAAGGTTGAAAATTCAATTGCATGATACCGGATTGCAATCATTTTTTCAGCGGTTAAAAATTTGATAATTTATCGTTATTTCAATCTTATCGATCATAGCGTTTGTGCCTAACCCAACTTAATCAAAATATATTTCTAATTCTAACTTTTATACAACTCTAGCCTAACTTATCTTCGTGTAAACATATAATCGACAATCGTATAATGTAAGAAAACAAAAACGAACTTATCACGTTTGTAGAATATGTTTTGCAGAATATGGTTCACAAAAACTACGTGTATATCTTTATCTCGTTTCTCCTTTTTAAAACATTCGGCTTATGTAAAATAAAATTATCAATATTTGGACACTTAAATCTGAGCACTTGTCATTCTAACCTTTAAATAAGAATAATCAGATTTTTTAACATAGAATATATTTTTCGCACCTTAAAATTGTAATTATAACATCCAAATATACATTTCCATGAATTTATATCATTGGTAAAATAAATAATTATTTTATTTGACAGAGAAGTATAACGGATGCAAAAGTTGTGCTACCTCTATATGATATGTATGTGTGTGTGCGCGTGCACACGCGCACGTGCCGCAGTAAGAAGTAATATTAAAAATATTAATTAAATCGTCTTGAATCATGAGAATAAATAAAATAATTTTTTGCCATTAAAATGAAGTGTAGGTGTAAGTTTAATTGTTGACTCGATTAAATGTTTATTGTATAAAACTAATGTCCGGTCATCGATATGTTTGTTTCATAGAACTTTTTGCTTATGAAACGCTTATTACGGAAACCAATATTCAATTGATTTTATTCTCAGTATCGAGAAATGATTTCTAATTAATATATTAAAAGCGCAAAAAAATTTGTTTTTATAACTTGGTTTTATATAACGTTCCCTCGTAGTGCTCTCAACCCTTATCGGTCGTGAGTCACCTCTCACGTGACAACAAACTTCGTCGCTGCGGTCGTACGTCACGTAGGAGGTGACAAGTTTGCATATTTACCGAAACCAACTACAACCTAGTGAGAATCACGCATAAAAAGCTATCGCCCGATAAGGGTTAACTCCCGAGATTAAAACGTATAGCTGAACAGTCGCTTCTTGTTTTCGCCATGTTTATCGTGACAATAAATGGAGGAAACGAGTAGGGCATGTGAAATGTAAGATAGAAATAAACATTTTATGCTCTGAATGTTTCCCTATTAATGCGAATGTCGCATATGCGTAAAAAAACATTAGTGTAGCTGCAACTCACGAACCTGATCGTTTACTCGCCAAGCATTGCAAAAACGTTTTTCTTGAACAAAGATTAACGAGAATCGCCAATCATAAGATCGCAATTAATTAATATTATTCGATCAAATATATAACAGTAACGACGATAATAACAATATAGATTTGTATCATGACGTACAGCGGTAACATGATGAGGCGTGGTGCGCAATTCTCTCTTTCACCTAACCGTTTGTTGAAATATCCCGTTCACAGGAATATGTCATGATATCCTGTTGGTTACTCTCGATTAGGCCAATGTGCCATGCGATTTATAAATGAAACCTCCGAATTAACCGACGCATCTGCCGTGAAAACGAGCGTTACGCATTTCGAGATACATCGGCCGTCGGGAAAATGTCGGCCATGCACGTCGACGTAGACGTGTGCCTGAGAATTCGATAAAATTTCTTAACACGATAACAAGTTCGCTTTCGAGCGCACCGTCGCGACGAAGCTCCGCGCTTCTAACGTAAAAATGATGTCGCGAAGAGAGATCTGAATCGTTGCGCCGATCGTGCCGACTATTTCATCGCGTCTCCGGCGAGGCCGCGTCTCTTTGCTCGCTATCGGCTCGGCTTGAAACATTGATAACCAACGTCGCGATTAATATGCAAGAGAGAAAACCGATGATAATTCCGACGCGACTGTCGATAGCGCTACGCCGTACCGCGCGATCTCGATATCGCCGTTCGCCGTCTCATTCATTGTGTATTTATTACCTCGATGTAAACCCGATACGTTCTCTTCCTTGCAGTCCCTGAAAAAAGAGATGGACTGGGAAAGGTCGACCGAGGAGCGGAGTGCGAGCAGCGAGATATCCACAGATTACAGACTCCCGCCAGATCCGGTGAGTTCCTTCTTTCCTGCGAAACATATATATATATACACACACATATATATATATATATATATATATATATTTCCAATTTATTATTGACTACTTTTTATTCTCGTATCCTCTCTTTGCTCTGCATATTTCTATATACATATATAAATATACAATATATATATACATACTATATATTGATAACCGTTATCGTCCCGCTCATCCGCAATCGTCGTCGGGCAACGGCGAATGCAGGAGTAGCCCGCGTTGTGGATGAGGCGACCGACGGTTATTGTTGCATCGATTCCCTCCGAGTCGCAACTGCAATTATACGGTGCGACGTGATCGCTACGTTACGTTATTATCACACGTCGAATCACGGCGGATCGTTCGTGACGCGGCCGGCCGGTGACGAACGGACGCGACTTGGAAGTATCGCCTGGTGGTAGACCAGACGCAGACGGGTGACGCTTCACTCTCGAAAGTCTCCGGCGATATATATGATCGTGTACGTATGTACGTACATACGTACGCACGCACGCACGCGTGCACGCGTCGTGTACGTGTGTGTGCGTCGAATTCACTTTGCATGTGGGTCTCTTGCATGCGCCCAAAAGTGCTTTGCTGTTTTGCTGCTCTCCCTGCCAATTCGACGAAGAGAAATCGTCACGGGATACAAAATGAGAGATCGATCGGAAGATCACATATTTGAGGGTCGACGCAGCGACGAAAACGTATATCGCTCGTTGAGAAATGCATCACTCACATGATGATCACTACCCGCCCTTTTAGGATCGAAGCTTTCCGCTATTTGCAACGCGACACGTTTTCAAACTCTTCGGCGGGACTAACATCGAATGAATTCGCTTCGTTGATTACGTCGAACCGATACCTCGGAAAGCGTGATCTACCATTCGGCAAATTGCCGGTCGGTTATTACGATGACCACGGGCGTGTAAAGTTTCGTTGCGGCTAGATTCGCGGAGTACATATAAATAACGTTTATGTAACGGTGCAACGATCGAGAAGAAAAGGGAGGAGAAGTATAGCGGAATGATTCTCTCCGAGTATCGCACGTGTGCGCGCACGTGTGTGGGAGGGTACGCACACATGCGTGCACGCACGCCCGTACGCATGCACGGTAGAACAGATTTTGGCGTTCGAAAGCTCGAAGCGGAAGAAGCTGCATTACACCCGCCGTGAATCAACTCGTTTGAAAGTTCATCGAAGCAGCTTACCGAAACGTGTATACGCGAGGACGATTAATCGCGCGTATTTGCCAGTTGATAATGTCGCTAAACGAATGAGAGAGAGAGAAAGAGAGAGAAAGAGAGAGAGAGAGAGAGAGGGAGAGAGAAAGAAAGAGAGAAACAGCTTTTCCCAGAATAATTTTATGGCTTACACACAGCTTTCTCTGTGTCGAGTTTTTATTCGTGCGCCGTGTCCGACGCCAGTCTGAAAACTTGATCGAGGCGTAATAGGCGAGGAAACGAGATCGTGCATGCCCGTCTACTGTGGCGAGTATATTGTCTTTTTTCCGAACTAATTCACTGTCCATCACGCCCCTCGTACATATCCCTTTGCTTTCTCCCTACCTTCCAACATACACACATACATACACGCATACACACAAACACACACTCTCTCTCTCTCTCTCTCTCTCTCTTTCACTCTCTCTCCTTCTCTCTCTCTCTCTCTCTCCCTGTTCATCTATAAATATCTCTCTATCTCTCTATTTCTCTTGCTCCATCCTTCTTATCCCTGCTGGGACATCCGCTTTTTCTGTTGTTTATATGTCCTACCTGTTTACCTGTCGGCCCGATTTCTAAACATGAAAATGTGAAAATTGTCAGACCGAACCGGATCACATGTATTCATGGTTCATTTTTCTAGAGTCGAATTCTTCGCATTAAATTTTATCTCGAAACGAAGAGGTGCGGCAAACACGTTGAAACTAGGACACATTAAAAAGTTCCGATTGTGCTGACGCGAGAAACTGAATAACGCGAAACTTTCGTCCTCGGTCTAATCGATTTCACATCTTCGTGTTTCACACGTCACCATCCTTCCACCTATTTGGCGTGCGCATTCTTTTCCTTACTATACGCGTGCACACGTGCATTTCGCGTCAAGCAGCGTGTATCGGCCGATCGTAAAAGCTCTCGTCCTTTTCCAACCGAATCCTCGTCCCATGCGCTTTGAGGAGACCGAGAAAGAAAAGAGTACGCTTGGAGTCTATCACTCGAAAGAGAAGAAAAATGACAAGCGAAAAGAGACTATGAAAAGCCAGACGAATCCTCTCCCGTCCTGCCAGCCTGTCTTGCTAGCTCACTGTCAAGAAGTTGACCTTCGTTTTTGGCCATGGTTGTTTTTTACTACATTTAAATATTATATATATACATAAATATATATACATATATATATACACGTACGTTATGTATACATCGCATACGTTTATACACTGTGATATATATATATATGCATACATGTATATGTATAATATGTATATATACATATATATATGTGCATATGTATATAAGTATATATATGTATATGTATGTGTGTATATATGCAGATTGTTGACATATTCATTATACCATTTGTTACTTTGTAATATCTGTATTTCGATTTGTCGTTTTGGTTGAGTGCAATGCCTTTTGCTACGGCGAATAAATTTGCGGTGCGGCATACGCTGCGAGTACAATAAAGGGAGGAGGGACGAGAGGGACGGGTTGAGAACGAGGCTGTGAGGGTGTCATGGGCCCGTATACATATATATCTCTGTTGCCACTTATATCTACGTATATATATATATATATATTTATCCATTTATTTATATATATGTTATGCGAGATGTCCCTCCCGGAACTTTATTGCTGTTCGCTTTATTCATGGATCTATTGACCAATTTCGAGCCAATATTTATCCTTAATATAAATTCGCTGACACGCCGTGCTTCTCTTTGATCTTGATATCATCGGTGTTAAATATCTTCGTCGCTTAAACTAACGAAGTAAGATTCTGAGAAAATCTATTTGAAACCGGTGAATCAGCTTTCGTTACTTATTCGCATTCTTGGAATTTACGCATATTCAGAGCGAAACTTTTCGTTTGTAATTTTTGTAAATTAGCGAACTCTTTAGTGGCTTATATCACGTTTAACGTTTCAAAGAAAAACAGGGGACATGATTATTTTTTCGGATTGGTCAAAATATTCATAAAAAGAATGGCGATAGATCGGGGACACCCTGTATACACGTATATATACATACATATATACATATACATATATATATATGTATGTACATCTCGTAACACATTCGAATAGTTTGTCATACATGTGCCTGGGGTGCTCGGCGTGCCAAACAAAAATGAGCGTCAACTTCTTGTGATACCGTCTTGTGTGCTGCTGAGAAGCGTTAGCTTCTCGCCACGCCGGAGACACTTTCTCCTCTAAAGGAAATTAGAGACGGATGGGAAACAGAGGAAGAGAGAGAGAGAGAGAGAGAGAAAATAGAGAGACAGAAAGGGAGAGAAATAAAGTGAGAAAGAGAGAAAGGATTTCGTTTAGTCGCAACACGTGCTTATAGTAGTGTCGAGAGAACGAGCTTGCCTGTTCTTTCTTTATTTTTTTTTTTACCGAAAACTTAGATGCATTAGAGAAAATTAGTCGCGAGAGAGAAAGCGTAACAAGGGAGCACGATGCGAGGCGAAAGAATACACTTTTTTTCGTTCGTTCGAGCTTGCTACGGCGCTGGTTTGTTCTACAAACAACACGCCGCAATGTGCATATATACATTGTATATATGTATAGTGTATATATGTACATATATATACATACATATATCTATATAATGTACACATATGACTGTATCTGTGTATTCTACGGATCGAATAGCGCCGGGCCGAACGATTTGTCGCGTTATTACGTTATATATAGCAGCACAATTCATCTAGTATCGTTTCGTCGGGATACTTTCGGGAGTAGGTCAAAGAAAGAAAAATTACTGAAAAAAGATTAAAAATAAAATTGGTAATATGGAGTAGAATGAAATAAAGAGAGAGAGAGAGAGAGAGAGAGAGAGAGAGAGAGAGAGAAAAGAGATGAAGAGAGAGAAAGAGAAAAATAGAGAAAGAGAGAGAGAGAGAGTCTTTCCCGCGGGGGTAGAGAGCGCCAGAGGGAAGACAAGAAGTTGATGTTCTTGTTTGTTTGGTTGCAGGAGTTGATGGGTGTGGATGAGCGGGTGTTTGCGTGCATGTACTGCGGTGCCTCGTTCCTCCACCAGAGCAAGCTGACGCGGCACATCCTCTCGCACAGCCTCGAGTCGCTCAAGTACCGCGAGCAGGCAGCCCACCTGCAGCTGCAGGCTCAGCTGGGCCTCGAGCCCGGCATGCACCTGCCGCCGGAGGCCCACTATCCCGCCGCGGGTACGATCGAGCCGATGGACTTCGAGCTCGCGGCCCACTCGGACCCGACCTCCGGCGTCGTCCTCTGCAAGTTCTGCGGCAAGTCCTTCCCGGACGTCGGCTCGCTGATCGCCCACCTACCGGCGCACACCGGCGATCGGCCGTTCAAGTGCGAGTTCTGCGGCAAGGCGTTCAAACTGCGCCACCACATGAAGGACCACTGTCGCGTGCACACCGGCGAGCGGCCGTTCCGGTGTACGTTGTGCGGCAAGACCTTTTCGAGGTCGACGATACTCAAGGCCCACGAAAAGACACATTACCCCAAGTATGTGCGCAAGTTCCTGTCCCCGAGCCCCGTGGACCCCTCCGAGGAAGAGGCTCCGCCGCCGCCACCACCGCATCATTGAGTTCGCCTTAGCCTCAGCAGAGATCGCCTCACCAGCGCCGACGACGACGATCGCCGTCGCGAAGGACAGCCCGGTGGGCTCCTGCGCGTCCGCGTCGTCGTCGTCGATCGGCGACGGCGGTATCGTTCACGGTGCCGCCGTCACCATCGCGACGCGTCCCTACGACGTTTTTCTGCATCCGCACCCCCGTCTCCTCTCGTCCACCTGCTGCTGATCGCGCGCGTAGCGACGCGCCGCGACACGGACCGTGACGCGCGACTCTCCCCGCGTTAACCGGTCCGAGCGACGGGGCAAGATAAGCTGGCGGTATTTCTAGTTAGTCCTGTGATTTTGGTTAGGATGGTTGGTAAATGCGTGTTCAGGGGGAGGGACACGTTAAAACGAGCTCCCTCGTTTAATCAGTGCTTTAAGACGAAACGTTTAGCTTATTATATACATATAAATATAAATATATATAGATATATATATATATATAAATTATATATACGTATATATATATCGATAAATTATTGAAGGTATATATATACATATACACACACACACGAGCGAGACGGGGTTAGCGAAAGGAGGAGCGTGGAAGAGTGGGAGGGTAAAACGGGCATAGCGAAAAACGGAACGAGAGGTTAAACTGAGGAGGAGGCGAAAGGAAATTTGAGCCGCCACGGTTGGTGCTTTTAAGAGATTTTGATAAAATGCTGTGAATATTATATTGATTACGATTAACTATAAATTATTGTAATAATGTACTGACATTGTACGATGTACGATGCGACTGTTGTTGATACGATTGAGAATATTTTATACAGTTGACACGGGGGTGGGAATAGAACGCGCGCCGACGATACGACGGAAGCCGAGGGTGGGGAAGGGGGTAGGGAGGAAACGTCCACTTAGCAAAATTCGACACAGTGCAATTCGACTCGGTGGACATGTTTATGAATCCGTAATAGAGAAAGAGCGTAAGGGAGTAAGAGTAAGAGAAAGAGAAAGAATATATGCGCGTGTGTACATATATGCGTGTGAATAAGTGTGTGTGTGCGTGTGAGAGAGAATGAGAGAGCGAAAGAGAGAGGAAGGATTTTGTTACGAGTGCGCTGGCGTTATTGGCTTCGTCGAGCAATTTTCGTTCCTGACTTTTATCCGTGACAACACCTTCGCGCGAGTCGACCGTGGATGTCCGATGCGCGTCGTAAGAAGCGCTTCGAGTTCCGGGGATTCCCTCTGCCTGTCGCGCACCGCTCTTCCTATGCAATGCGTGCCCTCCGCGGTTTCCATTGCGTAGCCTCTCTCGGACTAGTACGCGGACCGGGAGTACGCGACGACGCGGTGGCCATTCAGACAGTGCAATACTTGACTACACACACCGCGCTTTACACAACCGTTTACTCTCGTAGTCCGATTCTTATTTAACTAGCGTTCTTATAAGGTAATTAGATAGCCTAATCGCGTTGACCGCTCCCCTCCGGGTGATACACGTTCTTTCGTTCCACGCGACTTCGTCTCTAATTTATTTAGCACCTGGGACGAACGGGCAGATACTTATTACATTTGGACGCGCGTATCCTCGGAGAGAGAGAGAGAGAGAGAGAGAGAGAGCATTCGCGCGCGATGCTCCCGTCAACGACGGGATATCGACCGTTCGAATCGCAAGGCTCAATGCGACGCAATGTGCAAAGGTAGGGTTCGACACGGTGCTCCCGTAAGGGATACCGAAACGTCGTTGAGGATTCGTCGTCTATTCGCGCGACTCTTGGACGTTTCAACAATTGCAGTCGCCTCTCAGGTCGAGACCCCTCTTCTTCCGATTATTCGTGATTTATGATGGCACCGCGGAAACTCTTCTCGCAAAGAGAGGGGAGAGAAAAAAGATCGGTCGAGTTTCCGAGCGCGCGAATGTCGACGCACGTCACACACACACGGTGGTCTCGCGTTTTCCGCGCTCGGCCGAGTGACGACACGAGAAACAGTATTCGAGATACTACGCATACTTTTGTTTTCCTATTAGATAAGGTAAGATAATAATAATTTAGCACGTACGGCGGCCTGCGAGACGGGTGTTTCTTGCGTTCTCTCGAGGAAGAAAAAGAAAGTCACGCGACCGCCACCACCACCACCGTCGTCGATGACATCGTCGTCATCATCATCGTCGTTGTCGTCGTCGGTGGTGGTCCGATTCCTCGTAGACCAAGGTACAAAGCGTAATTCTCCCATTGATTTTTCGCCGGGCAATTTAATTCGGTTACACGCGAGCGCACGAGGACGAAAAACAGGCGCGTCTTCGGGATCCTCGCGGTAAACACTATCGTGGCCGGGGCAATTGCACGCGATTGCGAGCGACGAGTTCTTTCCCCGACTCTTCCTTTAAGCGATTCGGCGAGCGCATTGTATATTTAGCAGCCACTTACTTTCCATCGTTCTCCTCGCGAAAGCCCCCTCACTTCCTCCGCCGCCGCCTCCTCATCGCTCCCCGCTCTCCCTCGTCGTCGGTTCACCCGCAGCGAGCGAAGTCGCTCGAAATCGATCGATCTCTGAAATATTCAACGCATTCCGTGCGGAGGCTTGCAACGGCACCGAAGGAATCGCCTCGCGGAATAGGAAGATATCGATTAATCGACGGCCCCTCTCGGATCGCCGCGAGTATCAACCCCTCCCTGCCGGTTAATCCCCGAAACGTTCATCGCTTGCGTCTCACGACGTTGAAGACGCGCGCGTGTTTGAAAAGCGTATTCGGGAAGATTGCTGGCTGACGAAATTCTTGAGACGAAGGACGCGCTGTTTTGGGGAAAAAGTGAATTTTGTTAAGGCGTTATTCTTAAAGGAATCTAACGACCTGGCATCGGGAAGGTTCACTCTCGAATTTTCGTCGAGTTCGACGATAATGTGCCACCGAATGAACTCAATTGCTCGAGGGAAATTTTGGAGCAAGCGGAATTCAGCCAATTTGCTCGCCGTCTAACTTTTTTTCACACGCGAATCTTTCGCCTCACTACGGATTAACGAGAGAGTCTACGACATGTTGAAAGTGACAAATTTCGTGACGTTACCAAAGCTTGCATTTCAGTGATTCTGACGAGCGAATCTTTCAGCTTCGCGCACATCGTATATTCTAGGTTATTTGTAATATCGTCACAAAGATCTATAAATGTTTCAAATTGAATTCGTGCCCCCACATTTGCCATGTATCTTTTTAATTCGGTCAATTCAATCCTAATTGAACTTAGTTTAACTTAACCCAATCCGATCGAGTTCAATTCAAAGTTGAATCAAGCGCGGAAATCGAAAGCAACATATCTCAACAATCAGAGGCGATTTTCGTTCGATTCGAAACGTACGTTACACGGAAAACGTCGACCTCTGTATAACATATCTCGAAGCCAAGGTCACGTCCCGTTCGATGCGTGAGTTTTCACGCGAAAGTGATCACTCCCAATGGTGGTTACAGTGTTACCCCAACCGATTTCCGCTCGTGTCAAAAATCCCCCTCTCCCTCTACGTATATATCCGTTCGGAGCCAACGGATCCGGAACGTTTTCATCGAACTTTGCGAAGAGAGTAACCTTTCCCGAACTGCGGACGAATTCATTTTTAGCAGTGTTAAAATTCCACGCGATGACATTCGGAAGGTACATCCGAGGCGCGACGAAAAATTGTCGGCTCGTATTCCCGATTCGAGTACATTTCGGCGTGGGTCTCCTCAGGATTGAGCGTAATGGCGCGCGTACTGAGTAGCCGAGCACTGATTTGACTTTGAAACTGTGATGATTATACGATTATTGCCGGAAGAGCGAGTGGTCGTTATCGCGCGCTCGTTCTCTCTCTCGCGCGCTATCAGCCGCGTTTCTCCCTTGGCGATGGAAGCATCTACGTCTCCGTTGGCGATCGTGATCCTTGCGATTTCTGTGATATTTCGCGAACTCACACTTTTCATTAGCGCGCGCTACGCACTTGTCACTCGTCGTCTTTCTACATTCCATCGCTATCTTAGTCTTAATTGTAGCTAACACACACACACACACACACACACACACACACACATGTACATATATTGTGTATATACAGGATGTCCTTTAAGTCCAATATTTTAAAAGTTATTTCTCAAAGTCATTTTATGAAGAAAAGTTCACGTCAACATGTGGTCTCAAAAATCACATTTCAGAGATATAGAATGTTAAAAAAATTCTATAAAATTATCGTTTTTTCTTAATCTCCTTAACGAAAAGAAATTTCTTTTTTGAACTTAAGCTGAAAAAAGGCTATTACTTTCATTTTTTATCTGTAGTCGCGGTTTTGTAAAAAATTAATGGTGTAGAGAAGCGGGGTTTAGGTATTACATTATTGCCCTGAACTTGTGCACGAATTAATTAATTTTTTGTAGATTTTTTATATATTTCTTTAAATTACTTATTAAAAAAATTGTCTTGTCAAATTTCAATAAAGCCATAAACTAATATTTGAAAGATATTTGCAAGATATTAAGAAGAAACGCGGCAATTTTATAAAATTTTTAACATCCTATATCTCTCTCTGAAATAATGCTTTTAAGACTGCGTATTCACATGAACTTTCCTTCATAAAGTGACATCAAAAATCAACTCCTAATATATTGGATAGTACTTAAGAAACATCCTGTACATATGCCCACATATATATATATATATATATAGTGTCCTTGTCTTTCGAGCGTTGAACATTTCAAAAGAAGGTACTGGTGTTTCTTCAACGTGTGTGATTTAGTTGTGATCTCTCTCGAGAGCGGCGTGAAACTTAATGCGAAATCCGGTCGTTCCGTTCCGGGTTAGAGTTTAGAGATCGTCTGTTTTAAGAACAAAAATACGCGCATTTCATCCTCGGACTGCTTCGTTTATGAAAAATGCGCGGTACGATACGCGCGTCTTTCGGGAGACGTAGATGTGTGAAGAGCGAAGAAGTATTTCGCGAGAGCGAACGCGCGCAAACGACGTCCTCCGCACGAATTTCTCACTTCTGTTGTATAAAATATAAATTGTTGACTTGTTGTCATTCGACAACGATAATCGAACTACGGCGTGATTTCTTTTGTACATACCCGTCAAAGAGAGAAAAGGACAGCGCAAGAAAAAAGAATACGCGCGCGATTCGCTGCGCGTTCTCGACGAGCGGAAGGATGAGAGAATCCCGTTCCGTCGGCGACGCCGCGCGGATCACGGGGACGCGCGTAGTTTTAATTAGAATATTCGTCCCGACAAATCGGCATTCCTCTGAAAACGGGATTTTAATTAATATTTACGAGCGACGGTGTCGTTAATGACTGGAGGCAGCGCGAATATATCGAAATGAAAGTTCGCCGCGATTCAACGAGCCTGATTAGAGTTGGCGTTTGGCAAATGGATCATAAAGTTTCCGAATACCGTATCAAAAATGTTGTCAGCAGTTGTAAATTCCGGAATACGATTAATTAAATCTACAACGCGACGTTACACACACATACACATACAACGGCGCGGACGTATATGTGCGCGCGTCCGTCCGTCCGCGGTATTAAAATAATGATATCGCGAATTAAACATTCGACTCTGCGCGCGCGCTCCATCTCCCTCTTTCTCTCTCTCTCTCTATCTCTCTCTCTCTCTCTCTCTTTCCATAAACTCGTAACTCTATATATTATTCCTGGCCGGAATACACCGCCGTTCCCGTCGTCATGTGCGTTTCGCCGCGAGCTCTTCGAGTCGGCATTATTTCACATTCACACGTCCGTTCATTAACTTATTCGGTTAATCGTATTTCACAACCTAAATTGAATTTGGCCAATCGCAACAAGAAACTTTCGCGAGTTCCACATGGCTGTTGGACGATAGACGAGGAACAACGACTTCCGTTGCTGTTCTTCGGATCGGGATAAAAATTCGCAATGTGCACTAAATGGCTGAGTAGCTTCAGCACGCAACGCAATTAAGTTACCAGTATTTTCTAACTGTACAAATTACTGATTCGACATATCCTTCTCGCTTCTTTGAATAATGAATAGATAATAAATTAATAATGCATACGGTTAAAAAATCCTGACTAACTAGATGCATTGCGTGTTAAGGCTGCACTATGTAAAAGAAATCAGTCGGAACAGCTGGAATTCAGTGAAACGGATTGAATTTCAAGGTTGTATGCGAACTAATTGCCCTAACTCTATCAACAAATTTTCGTGTCCCTCTCTTATTTATGTAAAACTAGCTTAAAACTTAATTCAGCAAACCGATTGCAAAGCTGACTGCAACACATTCTCAGTTGTACTTATCATATTTAACTTTCCAACTGGAGGTAGAACTGTTCGTATATTACGTAATTAGATCAACCTCTTGAACTATTTGAAGAAAACAACCTTGTTATAAATACAACTCTATACGCATATTTTTATTTCGTTAATTTTTTTACTGTTGACTATATTTCATTTATTGACATTCACATGTTAAATTGTTAACTTGATCCGATTTCTATTCAACTTGCTCGATTGCAGTTTGCACGACAAAATTTGCGTGATCCTGAGACTCGGTTCTTTTTTTTTTGTTTCAATACATTTGTCGGCTGGTGTGTATACGAGAAAATGAAAAGTATACCATAAAAAAGTGATAAAGATCGCGCGGCGCGACGAAAATTGTGAAGCGCGAGTCAGTGTTTCAGAAACTGTCACGGGCGTGCGAAGGGTACTTAAAATGTACTTAAAAGTATACACCGTGGCTCGTTAACGCGCTCGTTCGTTCACGCGCGTTTGCTTTTTTCCTTTTCGTTCGAGCCGGCTCGATAGTCGTCAACGACGACCGTATCGCCGAAAGTATCTATTCGCGCGATATCGTCGCCGACATGCGTTAGCGGAAGAAAGTTTGCGAAAGTTTGCTTTGTCCCGATGAATTTCAAAACGCACTCGGCATCCAATAAAAAAATATATGTCTCTTGAAAATTACTGAAAAAAAAAGTTCATATCGGATACTGGAGATTCACTCAGGCGAAACTATCGGACAACTTTTCCTCCACTGACCGTGCAATCTTGCCGGGCAGGTAATGCTGCGACGAAACGAAAGAAAACTCTTAAAAAACAGAGAGAGAGAGAGAGAGAGGACGGTGCAAAATAATGTACAAATCGCGGCGGTTGCTGTAAAATTCATATCGCCTGCGTGGACTCTTCGGCGCGTATCTTCGCGTTCGACTACGACGACACACGCGGCGTGTTCGCGCTAATTTTCCACGTAATCGCGCTGAGCCACGCACTTTTTATCGTCCCGATCCGTGGTAAACAGTCGGGAGAGTTTTTCCGCTAGTGCAAACGCCGACTTATCGGCGATTCTTTTCCCCGGCGGGCGGCCGTCGTCTGTTATCCACCGCGCGCGAATCGATCGGGATGAAAAACGCTGATACCGAATGAGAATTCCGCGGGCGTAACCTTGTAATCATAAAGGTCTAAAAATACAATGAACGCACACACGGAGCACGCTGCATAATGCGCGCCGTCGACGCGACCGCCCCTGCGTTATCGCCTTTGCGAACGTGTGTGTCACCCGCCCGCCCGCTCGCCCGAGCGCGACAGATAAATCATAAATTGGGCAGTGACACTCAAACGTTCCGGGGGCGCCCCCGGACAATCGAAATCTCACAGAATCGATTTTTCTTCCGTTCTGCCTGGAAAAGAGAGAAAAGAACATGGAGCCCCGCGTGGGAATTTTGCTAGATTTTCCCAGATATTGCATAGATTTCGCTCGGAATGTCTAAATTTCTCCTAAAATTGGTTATTCTACTGTGACACCACAATTGAAAGTTCCATTCTTATCCTAACTATGTAGTTGCTGCCTGGAATTGAATCTGGGATCTCTCTTTTCTTAACACGTGACATCAATAACACTTTTAAGAAATCAGAGAGAGCGAGATCTCATTTTTACACCAACTATTGAATTCTACATAATAAAAGATGAAAAAAGAAATTGAGACACAAGTATTTTATATATTTTGTCTAACAATTCTGTTGTACAATCATGAGCATAAAATTCGACATTGCTTTCTCTCGATGCGTTTCGGAACATATCGAGAAAAAAACAGAAAATAAAAGAACCCATCTTCTGAGAACTTCTCAAAAGCAGATTTTTTCATTGAATGTCGGCTACGTTCCGAATTACATCGAAGAAAGAAACGTGTCAATCTTTGTTTTCGAGATTGTACAATGAAAAGTTGACGAAATCTTCGGAATAACATCGGAGAGAACGAATTGAGACCCGTTTTGGATTTCCCACTTAGAACCGTACGCTCGAAATATCACACCTCTAACCCGAATTTTCGTAGATTTCCCAGCCATAATTTTTCTCCCCCTTTTTTTGGAAAATCGCACTGGGACCCCAATTAGATCACAAGAAAACGCGGGGCAGTTGTGCGCGCGAAATGAAGTTCGGTAAACGATCGACGCGGAGATTCGCGCGACCCAGTTTGAACTGGAAAAATAACACTTCGACGTTGGACACGATTTTATTCTCCTCGTGTCGTGGATAAAATCGCTGGACTGCTGCTGGCGCGACGCCTCGCGTGTTTCCATTATGTTAACCCGTTGCGCGCGCGCGCGCGGTCAACCCAATTTCTTCTCGACGACTCCCGTGCAATTTTTGCTCCCCCGCCCCTCCTCATGCGGTTTCACGTTCGCTCGCCGAATTCTATTCGCTGCATCTTGTTCGTTTCGCCGTTCGTTCGTATCACGCGCGTCCTCCGACGACGTGTTCTCGCGCGCAGAAATGCGCACACTCGCAATTATTCATGCCGCGAACGCAGAACGGCCTGAGACGGCCGATCTCGCCGTTAAAGTGCAATCGAGAGGAAAATTAATGAGCGGCACGACGCGCACCACTGGCCTACGGTACAATCAGTTAGCAAAGTTCCAATTAACCTAGGTTTTAGGTCATTCAATGGCTCGCGTGCGAAAGAGAATGAGAGAGAGAGAGAGAGAGGCAGGTAGATAGAGAGAAAATGCGGGAGAGTGGTTTGACGTTTAGCCTCCTCGGCTATGTCGCTCCAAGGTTCTCCTATTTCAAAGGAATCCTCTTTCCACTCTGTGAAACTCGCTTCGGGGTACTCCGTGTCTCGCGATTGTAGATATTTCAGTTGTCCGCGACAGGGTGGCTACACCAATGCGCAATATCTTTCTTTATCTATACACGCTGAGATACAAAGTTATATATATATATAAATATATATGATATATATATATATTTATATATATTTATATATATATTTCTTTTTCTCGTGTGTGGGAAAACACGATGTCATTATCGGTGCGCGCGACTATCGAGTCGCGTCATAAATTACAAGCGATTATTTATAATAACGCGGGCGGATTTTTCCTTCTCTTTTTTTACTGGTAATCTCGTCATTGTCGTGACTTTTTCCGACTCCGTCCTTCGTCTTGAGTGTCGCGTTCTCAACGAATCA